ACATGATCAGTTTTATAATACACTGCCAAATTGTGATGCTCTACAATTTTGCATCTTCACCAGCAATTCCTGAATGATCTAATTCTCCATACACTTGGTAGCATTTGCTGTTGTCATTGGTCTTAATTTTAGCTATTCTTATAGATATGCAGCAATATCACATTGTGGTTTTAATTTGCATTTCTTTAGTAGCAGATGATATTAAACATCTTTTTTTTCCTTTTAAATATTGATTAAAGCCTATGTTTATGTTCATTCAATTTTTACAGTGTACTTTTATTTCTGCAGTGTCTATAATAATTTTCTTTGTTTTATTCCTGATATTGATAATTTGTGTCTTTGTTTTTTCTTTGTCTAGTTTGCTAGAAGTTTATAAATTGTACTCATCTTTTAAAGATCTGGGTCTTTTTTTCTTTGACTTTCTCTATTCATTTCTGCTATCAGTTGTACTGATTTCTGTTTTACTTCTATTATTTTCTTTCTTAGGCTTACTTTGGGTTCATTTTTCTCTTGTTTTTCTAGGTTCTTCAAGTGGAGCTTAGATTATTTATTTGAGTTTTTCTTCTAATATTCACATTTGGTGTAATAAATTTCCCCTCAGTTACTTTGTATTTCAACTTCCACTCAGCTCAATATATGATTGATTGCCCTTCAGACGTCTTCTTTGATCCTGAATTATTAAAAAGTATGTTGTTTAGCTTGCAGGCAATTGAATATTTTCCTGTTATCTTTCTGATATTTATTTATAGTTTTATTTCATTGTGTTTGGAGGACATATTCTTTATAATTTCAATTTTTTGACATTAAATTTGTTGAAGTTTGTTACTGTCCAGTATGTCATCTTACTTAGACTGAGTTTCCTGGGAATTAATTTGAAAAGAGTTTTGTATTCTGCTGCTGTGGGGATTGTTCTATCAATTTTATTAGAGCCTACCAGCTGAAGAGTGCTGTTGAGTTCTTACATATTCTCACTAAGTTTGTAGGGTCATTTTATGAATCTTTAAGAGAGGTATATTGAAGTCTCTTTCTATAAATCTAGATTTATTTCTCCTTTCCCTTCTAACAGTTTTTTCTTAAACTTAATTTTTAGTTGTATTGGTTAGTTCATACACACTTGGGATTGTATATCTTCTTGAGAAACTGACCCTTTGAACAATATATGTTTTTATTTCTGACTCTGTTAATTTTCTTTGCTAAGAAATCTACTTTATCTGATACTGATATAGCTGTTCCTACTTTCCTTTCTGATACTGATGTAGCTGTTTCTACTTTCCTTTGATCACTGCATGATAAATCATTCATACATATTTGTCATGATATTAAAAGTGAGGTTTTTATGGACAGCTATAATTAAGCTATGTTTTTAATCTACTGATATTTTAGCTGTTTTTTCATTGGAGTATTTTGATAAATCTCTGCACCTTAATTGGTGCATGTAGTTAGCACTTAGTGTAATTCATATTTTAAGGCCAAACTCCAATTTTATTTTTTGTTATTTGTTCTCTCCAGTTTTTTGTTTGTTTGTTTGTTTCCCTGTTGTTTTTGTTACTTGACTTTCTCATTATTTGACTTTCTCTAGAATTCTATTTCAGTTATTTATATTATTTTGGATGTATCTACTTCTATAGGTTTCTTCAGTGGTTGCATTGGGTATCACATTATGTATAAGTATCATAGTGTACCAGTGACATCACCAATTTGAATAAAGTATAAAAGCACTGTCTCCCTTTGCCTCCATTTATCATCCATTATTTTATATATATAATTTTATTAGATACTATTATTACCTTTGCTTCATCTATTATAAATAATTTAGGAAATGCATGAGGAAAAGGAAAATCTATCATATTTACCCCTAATCTTGCTTATTGCACTCTTTCTTCTTTTCTGATTTTCCAAGGTACATTTTTATCATTTCTTTGTGTTTAGTAGAGAGTTACCTTTAGACATTGTTAGAGAGTAACTCTGCTGGCAACAAATTTTCTTAGTTTGCCTTCATCTGAGAGTGTCTTGGTTTTTTAGTAATTCCTGAAGGATCAGTTCATATTTATTTCATTCTGATTGACAGTTCTCTTTCAGCACTTGAAAAATACTGGGCCACTTCTTTCTGGCCTCCCTGGCTTTTGAAGAGAAATCCATTGTTATTGGAATTGGTTTATCCCTTGGCTAAGGGATATCATTGCTCTCTGGCTGCCTTCAAGATTTTTTTCTTCTTTTGGAAAGCTTTCAGATTTGTTATGATTGCATGAATTTCTTTAGGTATATTATAATCGGGGTGCTTTCAGCTCCCTGAAGTATATTTATAACTCTTTATATATTTGGAAGTTATTTTAGTTAACTTTTTTGCTGCTGTGACCTACAGACCCAACCAGAACAATTGCAGAGGAGGAAAAGTTTATTTGTAGGCTTACACTTTCAGAGGTCTTATCCATAGATAGCCAGGTCCATTTCTTGGGTTTCAAAGTGAGGCAGAAAAACATGGCAGAAGAGTGTGGCAGAGGGAACCTGCTCACATAATGATGAGGAAAAATGAGAGAGAGAGAAAAGGTGGGGGAGAGAGAAAGAGAGAGATACAAAATATATACCCCATAGCCATGCCTCCAATGACCCACTTCCTCCAGCCATGCCCCACCTGCCTCCAGTTACCAGTCAGTTAATCCTCTCAGGTATTAATCCACTAATTAGGTTAAGAAGATAACCCAACCATTTCTCCTCCAACCATTTTGCATTCTCTCATGAGCTTTTGGGGGACACCTCATATCCAAACCATAACAAAAGTTTTCTGCCATTTTTCCGGGAGTACTCATTCAGGCTTATTTTGTTTTTATTAACTTTATGAGGATCCTGATAATACAAATATTAAACCTTTCATCCCAATCCTATAGGTATCTGAGGAGGTGATCACTTTTTTATGTCAGCCTGTTTTTTTCTGTGTGTGTGCAGGTGAGTACTTTCAGTTGTAACATGTTCTGGTTTATTGATGCTTTTCTCTGAACATTCTGTTGTTGAACTCATCTCCTAGTGCTTTATTTCAATTATTATAATTCTGAAAATTTCATTCCTTTCCTGGTTAAATATTTTATTTCTTTACTGAAACACTCTATTTTTAAATTTAAATTTGTAATTGCTTGTTGAAGAATTTTAAAATGATGTCTGTTTAAAACCCTTGTCAGGCAATTGTAATATCTGAGTCACTTAGTGTTATTGTCTGTTGATTGAGCTTTCTCATTTAAGCTGAGATTTTCCTTGTTCTTACTGTGGTGAGTAATTATTGATTGAAATCAGGATATCATTGATATCATTCATTGAAACCAGATGTCATTGCTCTCTGGCTGCCTTCAAGATTTTTTCTTCTTTTAGAAGCTTTCAGATTTGTTATTATTTTATGAATTTTTTTAGGTATATTCTAATCAGGATGTTTTCAGCTCCCTGAAGTATATTTATAACTCTATAAGTTTGGAAGTTGTTCTAGTCAAATTTTTTGCTGCTATGACCTAAGGACCCGACCAGTTAGCCAACTGTGGGCAACTGTAGATTTTACTTAAAATTTTCTATGTTTTTTTTTTGTGTGTGTGTGGTACTGGGGATTGAACCCAGTGCCTCATACATGTTAGGTAAGTATTCTATTACTGAGCTACACTCTCAGCCCATAAATCTTTTAATTAGTGGCCATCATGCATCTTAAAATCTACTCTCTGAAAAGTCATCAATGAAATCATTAAATCTATAAGATATTTCTAAGTGCATCATCAGACAAATGTTTCTCAAGTTTTTATATGCACATAAATCACATTAAAATGGAAATTCTAAGAAAATCTGAGTGGGACTTAAGATTTTGCATCTCAGACTAGTTCCAAGGTCACTGATGCTATTTTGTGTATTCTCCTCTATCTATATTGGATATCTTAGCATTATTTTCCCCTCTTCGGCATGAAATGGCCTTGCCCAATTATATTAATAAGGTCTTTATTAATTACTTTGATGCTTTTCACAAAGAATTTACATTTTGGAAGATAATGTAACACACATAATAGACCAATACAATAAGGACATTAGCTACAGTGGAAGCAGAATTCAAATGTGATATCCAAGATTCTCCATCCTGGTACACACACTTTGCATAATTTTCTCCACTTGAGTGTTGTCAAGAAGTGAAATATGACAGCCATCATTCCTAGGATTAGTTTATATTTCATGCCAAAGCCAAAGATATTTTTCAGATATTACTGAAGTCCCTAATAAGTCTGGCTTTGAGTTCATCAAAAGATTATCTTTGGTAATCCTGATCTAATCAGCTGGGCTCTTTAATAGAGGGCTCAGGCTCTTGTCAAATTAGGAAGAGTCTCCTACTAGAGGAAGCCAGCACCAAGAGTTCTGCAGCTGTAAAGAGGTGAATTCTGCCAATAACCAAGTGAGCTTGGAAGAAGAGTCTCAGGCATCAAACAAGACTTTGAGCTGGCTGACTGCAGCCTTGTAAGATTCAGCTTAGCCATTCCCAGGCTTCTGAGCCACAGAGACTGAGAAACAGTAAATGGATGCAGACCTTACAAAAGATAAATACACTATCTGCATTATCATAAGGCTTTGAAATTCAACCCTACATATAAAGAATCTAAAAGGTCCAGAGGCAGACAGATTTCCCAAGAAAGCATTCCTTCCTACCAGTCCCTTTAGTATTCCCAAGGAGAAATCTAAATCCCCTGTCATTCTTCCCTAACTTCAGAGCCACCTGAGTCCATGTCCCCAGTCATCTGATTCTATTTATGGGGAATTTCCTGGGAAGGAGTGGGCTGCTTCTTCACCGCTTGCCCTGACCTTGGTGTGCATCCCTGCTGTACTGTAGGTGCCCCTAGTCCTGAGGAAATGTCATTCTGCTGTACTGCCTTGTCAGTGGATGGAACACTGCCTGGTTTGACTCTGAATAGAACTCTTGATTTATCTGATTACAGTGCTGATATTGCAGAAGAATGCAAAGTCTGCAGGAGCCACGCTCAGCTGAGGTGCAACTACTCCTCTTCTATGCAGTATCCCTACTGCCTGTGCCAGCCATGTCCTGCCCTCCAGCCTCTCCCAAGGTACTCATGAGGAAAGGGGCTTGTTTCAGGCATTAAATGTTTTCAGGCTGAATTTGGAAAGAATGCAAACACCTTCCAACTGAGTAAACCCTGAGATCATTGGAGAGATGCCACTGAGTATTTCTGTCCCCTGAGTCTCACCATGCAGAGTTGAGCACAAATTACCAGAGACCTGCAGATTAAAGAAGCAGCATCACAGCCTCAATTATTTCAGGAATTTGGCATGTTTTCTGAAGGCAATAGTACAGAGAAAGTAGAATCTTAGAAAGAGTTTGGTTTCTATAGAGATCTTAGTGTGTGTTTGCCATTTTGCAAAGGAAGGATCTGATTTCTGAAAGACAGCATTCTTAGAGAGTCAAGATTCTCCAGGACATTAGGCTACAGGATTCTCAACAAACTGGTTACTTGCTGGCATGTCATTTGATAGGGATGGGACAGGAGAGCCTAACGTTGGTTGTGTGCCTTAGCTGGGGACAAATCACAGGTTCACCTCAGTCATTATTCTCTTAAGCAATCAAGAAACCCAGAACAACTCTTGTTTATTGTGGTTTTTTTTCCCAAACCACATTATCTCTAGGTTATTTTATCTAGCATCTTGATTTCAATTGTCTAAATTCCTCTGATGGAGCTTCTTTAAAGGATTTCAGCTCCACTCAGGTATTTGAAGCTGAGTAACTTCATTGAAGCTGTCATCAAAGCATGTATATAAGGCGACTATTCCAAAGACCAAATAGTAGGAAGAACAAAGATCTTCTTTATGCAATGGTCCTAGGAATGGACATGCCTAATTAACACAAAGTCCTGCCAAAATTCCAGGTAAAAATGTCAGGTTTGTTTTTTTATGAATAGCCTGCCTTTTCTTTAACAGACCCACACAAGTCCCCTCTGGAGATTAAAAGTCACCTCTCCTTTTCCCAAGTATCCTATCACTCTCTGTTTTTTCTTATTATTTTCTTGTTTTGTTTTGTTTTTTGGTGGTGTGGATGAAACCCAGGGTCTCACACATGCCAAACACATGCTGTACCACTGAGCTACAAACTAGCCCATTTTCTCCCTTCCAATCCAATTGCTGGAATACCTTCCGAGTAGCCAAGGACAATTAGTGATTCTTTAATCCTCTTTACTTATTTCCTGCACCATTACTAACCATGGCTGTAGTATACATTTGCAGTATTTTTCTTTAATGGGTCATCTGATATCCATTGTCTGTAGATAATTTCATTTTCTGCCTCAGTGAAAATAGAAGCATCCTCATTTTCCATTCCCTTTGTCCGAAAATTCATCTACAGTTGTTGTTGTTGCTGCTGATGATGATGATGTGATGATGATAATGATTACGTGCTAAGGACTGAATCAGGACCTTGTGCATGCTAGGAAAGCACTCTACCCCAAGGAATCTCCATACTTCTTTATTGGTTGCACCAAATTCTACCAAAAAAAATCTGCTGGAATTTTGAGTAATTTTGCATTGAATTTGTAAAATAATTTGGGGAACCTAATGCTACTGAGGTTTCTAATTCATAACATGACAGATTTTTCTAATTTTTAAGATTTTTTTATTCTGTATCAATATTTTTGAACATAGTTTTATAAACCAAATAGACAAGGCAGTTATTAAGAAAAATGATTTGAAACACATATATTGTTCAAAGGTTTTTATGTATAAAATGTAAAGAGCTCTTTCAACTCAATAAGAATACAAAGACCCAAGTTTTAAAATGGGCAAATGACTCTTTATAAAAGAAGATATACAAATGACCAACAAGCACTTGAAAATTTGCTCTAAAAAATATGACCCATGAGGGCTGGGTGTGTGGCTCAAGTGGTAGTGCCCTCACCTAGCATGTGATCCTTATCACCACATAAAAATAAAATAAAGATATTGTGTTAACCTAAAAAAACTAAAAAATAAATATAAAAAAATATGACCCATGAGCCAAATCCAGTCATTCACCTACTTTTATAAAGTTTTATTGGAACAAAGCAATGCTGTTTTTAAATACTGTCAATAGCTGCTTTCATGCCACAGTGGCAGAGCTGAGTAGTTGCACCAGAGACTGAACAGCCTCCAAATTTGAAAATGATCTGATTGTGTATGGGAAAAATTTGTTGACCTCTATTCTACATCATAAGTAATTAGAAAAATACAAGAGAATGTCACAAGAAGATACCACTACACACCATTATGTTAGTTAAAAATAGATGACTAAATCAAGTGTCTACAAAGGTACAAAAACAATTATCTAATTTAGAATCTATTTAGAAACACGTTCCTTTCAGTGTGAATGGCTCACCCTAATATGACGTTAATATTATAGGAGGGACAAGAGCCTTTTCAGTGACTCTACCTGAGGACCAAAGTGTGCTTTTGAAGGGACCCCAGGGTAAGTGTGGTGCAAATTTCATATTTCAATAGTCCTATTCTTTCCTGGTATGTCCAACATCCCAACCAACTCCTTCTGACCCACCTCAGACACTCCAATGGAGGGTAACAAATGTTTCTAGCTGACCTCACCAATGGAAAAATCTCCTTTCATCAGAAGAAATCATTGCCCCCAGAAAAGATTCAAGCATGTATTTTAGTGCTCTGATTGATGCATGGGTTACTGGACACAACCTTTAAAGGTAATTTTGCTGCATATTTAATTTTGGTGCATGATTATACAGAATGGTGGATTTCACTGCATTGTGTTTGTATATGCACATAATATAATTTTATCAGTTTAACTTCCCACTACCTCCCCTTGCCGTGTCCCTCCTCCTTTTTCTGATCCCCTTTTTCAGACATAGTGGTCTCCCTTTTATTTTTCATGTAATATTTTTATTCTATTTATCTCCATAGCTTCTATCTATGAAAGAAAACACACAACACCTACCTTTCTGAGTCCAGCTTATGTTGCTTAACATGATACTCTACAGTTCCATCCATTTTTTTTCAAAAGGCAGAATTCCATTCTTTATGACTGAATAAAACTTCATTGTGTATACATTCCACATTTTCTCTATACATTCATTTATTGACAGACACCTAGGCTCATTCCATAACTTGGATATTGTAAATTATGCGTCAATAACATAGGAATGCATGCATCTCTAAAGTATGCTATCTTCAACTTTTTGGGTAGATACTGAAGATTGGTATAGCTAGATCATTTGATATTTCTATTTTGCTCTTTGAGGGGCCTCCATGGTAATTTCAATTTTGGCTGAACTAATTTACATTCCTCTCAACAATGTATAAATATTCCTTTCCCCCTGCCTTCTTGCCAGCCTTCATTGTTATTTGTATTCTTGAACATGGCCATTCTGACTGGAATGAGATGGAAATCTCAGTGTAGTTTTGATTTGCATTTATGTGATGGTTAAAAATGCTGCCCATCTTTTCATATAATCATTGGCCATTTGTACTTCTT